GTGATATTATTGTTAATAGTTTTTTTTGGTGATATTTAGATTGTGTTAGTAAGTACTATAATTGAACTAGCTAGTTAGAAAAATATAATTACTATTTTATTTAGATTATTTTGGTAATATAATTAGTTAGAAAAATATTAGTTAGTTAGAAAAATACTAGTTTATTTTTAGTAAGTACTATATAGTAAGTGCTACTTTGTTTTTAGTAAGTACTACTTTATTTATTTATAGTAAGTGCTTAGTAGTTGAACTAGATAGCTGATTTAATTAATAAAACTACTTTATTTAAATATATATAGAAGTAGTTTGTAGTAAGTGCTACTTTATTTATTTATAGTAAGTGCTACTTTATTTATTTATAGTAAGTGCTTAGTAGTTGAACTAGATAGTTAATTTAATTAATAAAACTACTTTATTTAACTATATATAGAAGTGCGTAATTCTCGCATCGACGTCGGCGATGCCTATCCCGCATCCTCGTCGTCGTCGACTCGGCGGTGGAGGCCTGCTTGATCAGGGTCATGTTCGGGACTGGGCTCCGCCGGGCTGGTATTGGGAGGTGCTACCTTCTGGGGGACGTAGGTTGGTGAGGAGGCAGCCCGTTGTTGACCCGATCCTTGTTTGGTGGCAGTCGCGTGGGACAGTGACGGTGCCGAGGCTTCCGGACACCGCGGAGGTGGTACGTCACCGTGTCAGCGAGGAGGACGAGCACATTCGTCGCTACATGGTTGCGTTGGAGGGCAGGTTCGACAATACCTGGCAGGTTCTTCAGGGATCTCACTGGAGCTATGATCCTGTGATCGTTCCTTATCTTTGGGTGTCCACCGCCTGCGACGATACCCGTCGGGCGCTACGGTTCTAGCTGTATTAATTAGCGATGCTATATGTATGATAGTATTCGAGGAGTATTCGACGATGTACGGACACAAGAGATGATGTACTTTTGGTTATAATTGAATGCATGCTAATTTGAATACTACTTCATTTTACGATTTGGTTTTGCTTATTGAATGCTCATATTGGAAAAGTACTCCTACTTTGGATGCTAAAATTGAAGAGCACTCCATGCAAAAATCTAGCTAGGAGCCCCCGTCCATCATCCACGCCGTCATGGGGGTAACTTCTCCTTCATTCCCGTGTGCTAGACAATTTGTTGTAATAATGCACTCGAGAATGAAAGGAGGAGCTACATACCATCACCGATAGTCAACCCGTGATTAATAATAATGATCTAATTTAGGTTTTTTAGTACATATATTTAATATTTGAATTATGAACTTAGGCCGGAAATGTCGTACTCGGACGATGAAAACCGCCCGGGGGAGTGCGACTGGTGCCATGACGACCAAGGTATGTGCGACAGGTTCATTGAGCTGGACGAAGATCGTCGCTTCAGTATTAAGCTCGAGGAGACCTTCGATGTTCATACGGTACGCAACGACGACAATAGTTTTTTTCGTAATTAAGCACGACTTCAACTATTTTAACGTGTATTTTTCATGTTTTCCAATTCGACTAGCTTATCCCATGCTTTGCAAGACGCTATGTCTTGGAGAGGATGGGTTTTGAAGTACCAATCATGGGTTTTGAAGTACCAATCATGGGTTTTAAAAACCAAAAAAATTATCCTAAGTACCCATCATGGTGTGGATTTTCAAGTAAAGCTGTACAATGCTCAGAGTGTAACCCATTTTGGTTGCAAAAATTGGGAAGCACTTTGCAAGATGTATGGTTTTGATGAGGGTATGCTTGTCACCATGGATCTTGGTGATCCTACAATCACGCAAGAGAGACCTTCGATTTTCGTCTTTGTGGATACACCTCCAATTCTTCCCCCATGTGAGCTTAACATAGTTATTAAGTAATTTATATTGTTTATTTCAAAATAGTTGACAACTTATTTCCATTGACAGCTTATTTTCATTCTTCAAAGAATGTGCGGAAGATGGTAGACAGAACCTACTACACCGAAGGCTCCGAACTAACTTATTAGGAGAAAAATCATCTGGTCGCATTTTGTAATGATCTTGAGAATTACAATATCTACAATCAAACTCCTCAACATTATGGTCAATACGTGCCACTAGTGCACGTGTTGAACTACGATAACTACTATGGAGATACCCTGGTAAGATTTTTTACTATTACGACATCCGTGCATCTTTTTGCACACTTCTAAAACTAGTACATCATTGCTAACTACGAAGTTATTACTATGTTTTTCAACAGATAATCCTGAATGATTGTGTGCCTCATCTGATGTATACACACGGTAGCCTTCATGTTTTGAACATACAACCAGGTCTTCCTACGAATCTGAACTGTCCATACCGGGTTTCTAAAAGAAGTGGAGACATGGCAATCAAAGAATGGAAAAAATGTATGGACAGTCGTAAGGAGCTTCTTGGAAGCAACATTCAGCGAAGGGCAAAAATTGGAGACAGAATGATCGCCATTCTTCATAATGGAGAGTCAGGGTCTATATTGTTTTATGCTATTTTATCTTAAGGGTGTTTAGGTCCTACCTGATACTGATGATCATGTGCTAAGAACAATTATGTAGGGTTGGGTTCGATGACTATGAGGATGATGATCGTATGACTTATTATTAATAACGAGTAGAAGTTGTATGATGATGCATGATTAGTAGGACTTGTTATATATATGATGATGTATGATGCGAGCATGCATGAGTTATTATATCAGCGGGTGAAATAAACATATATAGCAGCAGCGTTGGTAAACCAAGGACGAAGATATAAGAGAGGACACTTCTCTCTATTAGCTAGCTAATAACAACCTAAAAATAACCCCCAAAACCCCTAAAGCAGCCACTTTTTAGAAAAAACATGGACTTTCGGTCCCGGTTGGTGCCACTAACCGGGACCAAAGGCCCCCTGACTGAGCTCGACGCACAGGGCCACGTGGAGGCACATTGGTCCCGATTCGTGTTTGAACCGGGACTAATGGGTGGAGGTATTAGTAACGACCCATTAGTCCCGGTTCATGAACCGGGACTAAAGGCCCTTACGAACCGGGACTATTAGGTGTTTTTCTACTAGTGTAATGAGGAGAGAGCTGTTTGTAGTAACATAATATGTTACAGTAACAAAACGCATCCCAATGCAAAATGTGTCTACAACATAATAAATGAAGGCTTGCATGACAATATACTTATGTTACTATCCATTATGATGGTAGTAACATAGACTAGTAACATGCATATGTTACGAGTCTAATTTACTGCCCACTAAGACTATCCTAAAAAATAGTTTTAGTGGATGATGACATGGCACATTTGGTGATGTGAAGGACAACATTTTGAGAAAATCAGACTAAGTGGGGAACAACTATTATGTATTATAGATACCAACAATTCATAAGGACGCTACTACGCATCGGCCGGCGGACCATTTTAAAAGGTCCGCCGCCTCGCGAACCGTCGGATCCGACGAATTGAGCGACCGAGCGTCACCCTTTTAACATTGCAACACAGGTTGTGTTGCGGGAAATTTCTGCAACACGAGTCATGTTGCAGAAACTTTTGCAAGATATTCATTTTTTTGCAACATAGGTCTTATTGCAATTTAGTTTTTTTTGCAACACAGGTCTTGTTTCATTTCTTTTGCAACAGAGATCTTGTTGCAATTCAGTTTTTTTGCAACAAAGGTCTCAATGCAAATTTAATTTTTCGGAAACAGAGGTATTGGAGTTCTTAGAGCATCTCCAACGGGCGGGCCAAAAGACGCGCGCGCGACAAGTTTTCGCGCGCTCCAGTGGCAGAGGGAAACAACCGTGCGCGGTAACCGTTTGCGCGCGTGCGGGAGAAAGCTGGCGGGCGTGCGGTAGATTTGGCGCGCCACTTCACGCGCGCCTATAAAATGTGGCGCTCGCCACACGCTCCACCACACTGCCACGCGCCCATTTTCCCCGCCTCCTCGCCACTTCCACCGCTTTCTCGCCCCTTCGTCGCCGCTCAGCGCCACCATGCCGCCGCGCCGCCGGGGATCTTCAGGCTACTGCGGCGTCCGCGAGCGCCCCTCCGGCGCCTACTACGCTGAGATCCGGTCCAGCGACGTCCGCCTCGGCCTCGGCACGTTTGAGACCGCGCACGAGGCCGCCCGCGCGTACGACGCGGCGGCATGGCGCCTAGGGAGGCCTCGCGCGCAGTTGAACTTCCATGACGTCTACACGCACGAGCAGGTGCAACGCATCGCCCCTCCGCCTCGTATGATTATAGACCAGGACCGTGAGGACCACCGTCGGCGGTAGCGCCGCCTCCTCATCACCGAGGAGGACGAGCGAGCCATGGTGGAGTGGCGCCGGCGCCACCCGGAGGACGTCACCGCCGAGAACGCCTTCTGGACGGAGAGGACGGCAAGGCGCCGCGCGGAGCGTGCTGACAGGCGTCGGCGCAAGGCGCTGGACATATCGCAGTGCGATATCGTCGAAGCATGCGGGACGTCGATCTTCTCCCTTGACAATGACCGTTGGGATGACATGTGGCTCGATACCTCGGATAACACCACCGATGATGATGATGATGATGATGATGATGATGATGATGAGGAGGAGGAGGAGGAGGACGACTGCGAGTAGGTTTTAGTTGCACCGTAATTTTATCAAGTTGCACCGCAGTTTTTTATCTAGTTGCACCGTAGTTCTATCTATCTATGCTATGAACTATGTAAAATATCTTTGTATCGTTTTTTTTTATCTATGCTATGAACTATGCATTTTTTTTATGAACAAAATTATCGAAAGAAAGAAAAGAGACCGCTCCCTCGGAACACATACAGATGAGCCGGCCGAGCGTCCTGTAGAAGCCAAGTGTTTTCCAATTCATAAACATGAAAAACTTATACGACATGTGACGCAGCATACGATGCGATTTGTCACTGAATAATTTTTTTCACTTTGAGATACGCTATTTTTTTTCACTTTGAGACACGCTGGCGCAACCCGCGTACGTACGTTGTTAATTTGTTATAAACTCGATACTAATTACAGTGGTACGGCGTGGGCAGGAGCACCAGCGGCGTCTTGCGGTGGAAGGTTAGCTTGCCGGCCTCCTCCATGCTCATTTCCTCCGCCGCCGTCCCCTCCGGCAGCGTCCAGTCGAAGCCGCACAGCATGTTGGCCAGCGTGAACTCCACGGTCGTCACCCCCATGGCCAGCCCGGGGCGGACCCGCCGGCCCGAGCCGAACGGCACCAGTTCGAAGTGCGCGCCGCGCAAGTCCACCTTGCCGTGCCTCCCGTCCGTCTCGAACCTCTCCGGCTTGAACTCGTCCGCGTCTTGCCCCCAGCTTGCCGGGCCCCTTCCGATGGCCCACACGTTCACCAGCACGCGCGTCCTCGCCGGCACGTCGTAGCCGCCGATCTCCACCTGCCGCAGCGTCTCCCGTGGCAGCAGCAGAGTCGCCGGCGGGTGCAGCCGCATGGTCTCTTTGAGGACCATCTTCAGGTAGGTTAGCTTGGGCAGGTTGTCTGGCTGGACTGGCAACCCCGGCGGCGAGACATCGCTGGCGGCCACCGCGGCCCTGATCTCATCTTGTGCCTTCTTCAGCGCCGTCGGGTTCGAAAACATATAATAGAACATGTGCTCCCCGGCCCTCTTATCCTGTACGTTCATATACATCGGGATATACGCCAGCCGTTTCCGTAAGATTCTCAGTCCACGGTTATGTCGCTCGAGTTATCAGTTGTACCAGGCCCTGATCCGCCTACTGCCTACCTTAGGCTACTGTGTACAGGGAGATAAGGACAGACACTATCGGACACTCCAGGAGGCGGCCCGTGACTCTGGTCCATCTGCGATGTGTGAATACCTCTTCTTCCATCCAGGCACCACAATGTGGCTCTCAGATTCAGGGGCAGGGATATTTGGATTCTGGGCGGAGCCGCAAGCAAGCGTGATCGCAATCCCCCCCAGTCGCCGGATGCATGATCGATCCAGGATGGGTCCTAAACGTCCAAGTTGGAGATCAGGATCTATAACAAGGAAATCCCCACACAAATACTGTTGACCCATCTTTCTCAATCAGAAATCATACCTGGGGACCGTCGAGCGTCAGATCTGCCTCTGGCACCGCCCGTCCTGGAGGACGCTCGTCCATGACGAGATCGGAAGACCGGCGGTCATGATGGATCTGTACCTCGGCAAAAAGGTCAAGGGACAGCGGATTCAGTACACTTCTGGCTAGAAAAACAGCGGCCTGTAGAGCAAGATAAACTATTTGATGCGTACCCATTGTCGTCCGGCAGTGCGGCATCGATGGAGCTGTGCTCCGTCGCCATGGGAGCGCCGCCTCGGCCTTCCTCCATTGAAAGCGTAGAATGAGAGTGAAACAGTATGCGTTGGAGCCTTGTTGGTCAGAGTCACGGGTACGCGTCAGTATGTTGGGGGGAGGGGGGCGGTGGAAGACAAATTTCCGCAGAGCCTACGATGGAACAGTACTCCTACGACGCCAACGACCGTAACAGATGTCTGCCGCGGTAACAGATACGCTAAAGCTGGTGTTTGTGACGGGCATCTCGAGGTACAGCGCCATGATTCAACAGCTAGGATAACGCGCCCCGGGTGCAGGTGCTCAAAAAATCCGCATCCCCCCATCGGGTTATGGATCAGCTCCGACATCGCCCACACGATGGTGATAGAGCTGCCGTCGACGCCGCCGAGGAACGCGTCCAGGAGCATGGCCTTCACGTGGTCCCTCGTGAAGCCGTGCTCCTCACAGGCGCTGATGAAGGCGTCTACCAGGTCGCCGTCGCCGCTCTCTGGCTTGGGGCGCGCGGGGTCCAGGTGCTGCTCCAGCACCGCCTCGAAGAAGGCGTCGAGGTCCCTAAAGATTCTCTCTCGCCGCGCGATAATGCCGGAGAGCCGGTCGACGAGGCGGCCGGCGGCGTTGGGAAAGAAGTCTTCGGCCGAGAAGCTGGCCGACATGGCCATGGCCTCCTCGAGCACGTGCTGGAACTGCTCGTACTTGCGCGCGAACGCCTCCGCGGCGTAGATGCGCCCGTACGCCACGGTGCCGATGATGCCGTCGGCGACGCGGAAGACGTGCTGGTCCATCGCCACCGGAGCCGCCGTCGCTGCCGCCACGGCCGCGCCGAGGGTGGCCATGAGCCTGTCAACCTGCTGCCGACGCGCGTCCCATACGGCGCGGACGCCCCGCGGGCCGAAGAGCTCGGCGACGAAGAGCCTGCGCATGTCCTGCCAGTAGGGGCCGTAGGGCGAGGAGGCGATGCTCTTGCCGCCGTAGGAGAGCCGCGCGGGGCCCGGGGACGCGAACCGGCTGCAGCAGTCGGCGTCGTGGGCCTTCATCACGTCTCGCGCCGCAGCGGCAGACGAGACCACCAGCGTCGGCACCGTGCCGAGGCGGAGCAGCATGACGGGGCCGTGCCGCCGGGCTAGGTCGCGCAGGCTGCGGTGCGGCAGCGGGCCCAGCTGGTGCAGGTTGCCGAGCACCGGCACCCGCGCAGGGCCGGGCGGCAGCCTCAGCCGTCCTCCCTCAACGTCGCCCCTCGTTATGAGCAGCAGGTAGGAGACCACGGGGAGGAGGAGGCCGGCGAGAAGGAGGAGGAGCTGCCATTGCAGGGGCAGCTGGGCGAGCATGTGCCACTGCGTGTGGAGCAGTGAGATCACCATTGTTTCGGCCGGAGGTGGAGCTAGCGATGAGGTGCTCTGCTCGTGGACGGTATGGGGTTTATAAAGTGGAGTGGCAGTGGCAATGTGCGTGGAACTTGATGGACGTGGCAGGTGGCACAGTTGCCAAAGAGCATGTGGCATGCATGCATCATTTTGGTGATTAGAGTGAGAGCAAAGAGACGCAAACAAATCATTTTGGTGATAGTGCCTTTCCTTAGTGGATTTTGTCATAGCTCCTCAGTGATCACCGGACAGGAACGAATCCAAACGACCATTCGGTTCCAGTTCCATAGAAATTCGCCATATAATGACTAAAAAGGTTTTGGCTGCATCGTATATGAGTAATACTCCATCCGCTGCTAAATATAAGTCCTTTTAAAGATTTTCAATATGAACTACATACAGATATATATACAGGGCCGTCCTGAGATTTTAGGGGCCCAGCGCGAAATTAGAACCCGAACCCCCTTAACTTTCCAACGCTACTCTAACTTTCCAAAGGTACTTTTAGTATAAATTTTGTGCAACTCTATGGTCTTGCTTGTACAACATGCTACCAACAAAACATGCAATATGAACGTTTATTGTTTTGTATAAAAGAATAATTGTTGTGCCAATACCCTTCAATTACTCCATATTTCATTCGTTCAGATGCAGAAATTAAAAGCTACAAAACTTTCCTCTTTTTAAGTTATATGGAGATCTGGTAATTATTCATTGATAGAGGGAAAAGCCGTATGGCCGAGTACAAGAAAACAAGACACAAATCAGAAAAAAAGAAGACAACAAGAACAATATGGCATGCCGCTTTTTATACAACCCTCGACAGCTATACATCAAGAGTTTTACATGGTATCAACATACCTGAATGCAGCAGTCCGGCAGATGTATCACTCGTACAAAGCCCTTCAAGCCGTCCACGGGCTTCCGCCAGTGGCGGAGCCAGGAATTAAAGATCGGGGGAGCCAAAATGACTCAACCTTTCTATAACAGGGGCCAAACAATACTAATGTATGCATTTTTGTT